CCTCACAATTATTCAGAAAACTAGCCCCCAGCGCCCATCCCGCCCCCCCAGGATACCCCCGACAGGCCCCCCCCCAGCTCCCGGGAGAGCCCCCAGCGCCCATCCCGCACCCCCAGGATAATCCCCGACAGACCCCCCCAGCTCCCGGGAGAGCCCCCAGTGCCCATCCTCCCGGGAGAGCCCCCAGTGCCCATCCTCCCGGGAGAGCCCCCAGTGCCCATCCTCCCGGGAGAGCCCCCAGTGCCCATCCTCCCGGGAGAGCCCCCAGTGCCCATCCTCCCGGGAGAGCCCCCAGTGCCCATCCTCCCGGGAGAGCCCCCAGTGCCCATCCTCCCGGGAGAGCCCCCAGTGCCCATCCTCCCGGGAGAGCCCCCAGTGCCCATCCTCCCGGGAGAGCCCCCAGTGCCCATCCTCCCGGGAGAGCCCCCAGTGCCCATCCTCCCGGGAGAGCCCCCAGTGCCCATCCTCCCGGGAGAGCCCCCAGTGCCCATCCTCCCGGGAGAGCCCCCAGTGCCCATCCTCCCGGGAGAGCCCCCAGTGCCCATCCTCCCGGGAGAGCCCCCAGTGCCCATCCTCCCGGGAGAGCCCCCAGTGCCCATCCTCCCGGGAGAGCCCCCAGTGCCCATCCTCCCGGGAGAGCCCCCAGTGCCCATCCTCCCGGGAGAGCCCCCAGTGCCCATCCTCCCGGGAGAGCCCCCAGTGCCCATCCTCCCGGGAGAGCCCCCAGTGCCCATCCTCCCGGGAGAGCCCCCAGTGCCCATCCTCCCGGGAGAGCCCCCAGTGCCCATCCTCCCGGGAGAGCCCCCAGTGCCCATCCTCCCGGGAGAGCCCCCAGTGCCCATCCTCCCGGGAGAGCCCCCAGTGCCCATCCTCCCGGGAGAGCCCCCAGTGCCCATCCTCCCGGGAGAGCCCCCAGTGCCCATCCTCCCGGGAGAGCCCCCAGTGCCCATCCTCCCGGGAGAGCCCCCAGTGCCCATCCTCCCGGGAGAGCCCCCAGTGCCCATCCTCCCGGGAGAGCCCCCAGTGCCCATCCTCCCGGGAGAGCCCCCAGTGCCCATCCTCCCGGGAGAGCCCCCAGTGCCCATCCTCCCGGGAGAGCCCCCAGTGCCCATCCTCCCGGGAGAGCCCCCAGTGCCCATCCTCCCGGGAGAGCCCCCAGTGCCCATCCTCCCGGGAGAGCCCCCAGTGCCCATCCTCCCGGGAGAGCCCCCAGTGCCCATCCTCCCGGGAGAGCCCCCAGTGCCCATCCTCCCGGGAGAGCCCCCAGTGCCCATCCTCCCGGGAGAGCCCCCAGTGCCCATCCTCCCGGGAGAGCCCCCAGTGCCCATCCTCCCGGGAGAGCCCCCAGTGCCCATCCTCCCGGGAGAGCCCCCAGTGCCCATCCTCCCGGGAGAGCCCCCAGTGCCCATCCTCCCGGGAGAGCCCCCAGTGCCCATCCTCCCGGGAGAGCCCCCAGTGCCCATCCTCCCG